CCACCATTATCACCACCACCATTATCACCATTATCACCACCACCATTATCACCACCACCATTATCACCACCATCATTATCATCACCACCATCACCACCACCATCATTATCATCACCACCACCATTATCACCACCATCATCATCACCACCACCATCATTATCACCACCATCATTATCACCACCACCATTATCACCACCACCATTATCACCACCATCATTATCACCACCACCATTATTACCACCATCATTATCACCACCACCATTATCACCATCATCACCACCTGACCACCATTATCACAACCATTATCACCATCACCATTATCACAACCATTATCACCATTATCACAACCATTATCACCATTATCATCACCACCATTATCACCATTTTCACCATCACCATTATCACCATCACCATTATCACAACCATTATCACCATTATGATTATCACCATTATCATCACCACCATTATCACCATTATCACTATCACCATTATCACCATTATCACCATCACCATTATCACAACCATTATCTGCATCACCACCATTATCATCATCACCATCATCACCACCATGTCCATCTATTTAAAAGTTTCCTTCCTAATTCAGACATGTTACCAATCAGTATCTTCAGTAACGTCAACCATCATAACTTATCCTTTACAAGGTAAGTTACACCCCTTTTGTTTTTCCTAATCATATATTTCCTTCCAGAAAATATTCACCATTTTAAAAACATCTGTTTCAGTTGTTTCAATACGAATGATTGTGCAGTTTGTTGGCCGAGAGGCAAAATACACGTAAGTTGAAGAATCTTGCATGCATTCATTTTAATTCCCATTCTAGACTAATTTTAAAACTAGGCAAGGAGATGCAAGTAAATCACCACAGCTAGAAAGAGCATACTAAAACGAGTAAAATTGCAAAGTTTGGTTGCGAAATGTTGTAAAATGCGGAAAATAATATAGCCTTGCAAAGTTTGCAAATTTTGTATACTTTTGTATTGCGTGCGGAAATTGCCACCATTTTCGGCCCAAATGTGGGCTAAATTTCCGCACGCAATACAAAAGTATACAAAAAATGCGAACTTTGCAAGGTTATATTTTCCGCATTTTACAACATTTCGCAACCAAACTTTGCAATTTTACTCATTTTAATATGCTCTTTCCGGGAATATACTTTTTTTGCCAAGATAAAAAATTAGTCTATAATGGGAATTGTCTATTTAGTGACTTATTGAACAGCACATCGTAATATTTTTTACTGTATGTTTTCATATTTAGTGGTACAATTCAATCTCTGCGTGAAATCTACAGCGAGGAAGGCATTTCTGGTTTATTTGCGTGAGTATAATTACTTCACACAAGTAGAATTTTTATCCAAGAATGTCACTAAGCAAAATGTCACATTTTCTAGTGGTCTTATTCCCCAACTAATTGGCGAGATTATCACATTGTGGATTTTCCGTGGTTTAACATTTTGCGTGAATAAAGCAGTTAGTTCTGAGGTACGATGAGTCTTGGTTTCTTTATATCGTGAGTTTAGTCGAATGGAAGATAGCTGTGAAACTTATTAGTGTAACAATATAACTCATTATCTATGTTAGTCAACGTTTATTCATAAATCTGGTCCTTCACCGTCACGTGTGTATTGTATTTTTGACAAATCCACCAAATCACCAATAGCAATTTCCCTATTGTTCGAGTCACGGATAGGCAACTTTCCTAAAACATTGCTATTGGTTAGTTGGGCAAAATACAATACACATGTGACGGTGAAGGACCAGATTTATGAATAAACGTTGACTAACAGAGATAATAAGTTATATTGTTATTCTAATGAGTTTCACAGCCATCTTCGCTTCGATAGGCTATGGTTGGGTGTACTAGCTTTTTTGTTGAGCGCAATAATCACCATTAATAGGAAAATAATTTCTTTGTATTTTTATAGATTGGAGAGTTTAAGGACTTGAAAGTCTACACACAGCAAGCTTCTCGTGTAATTAAACGTTTTTATATGTTTTGTATCACACTTGATAAGACTATGTTGTTTATATATTGTGTTTATTCTGTTGGCTAGATTATTGTTAGTTCTTTGACGTATCCCTTCGTACTGGTTGCTAACCTCATGGCAGTTAACAAATGCAGGTATATGATTATGATTTATGATCTCTTGTCTGTCACCATTGATGTTTGGTAAACTCACCATCAGCAAGCAAATCAACCCTTCACTACTATCATCGCTATCTACCACCACCACCACCTGTTCACCCCTATCATCATTATCACCACCATCATCACGACCACCATCACCACCACTGTCTACTATCATTACCATCATTACCATGCTCACCATCATAATCTTTTCTTATCTAACCGTCAGGGTGCGATAATTCGCGTACTTACGTACCGGAAGTACGCCAATATTACTGTCTGGTACTTCTTTGTTTTCAACCACGTAGGCACGCGGAACTCTTGCTATATGCGTACTTATTTTTTGCTGGTACCACATGACCTTTCCAAGTGCAAGGTATTCAATACCGTAATTTAGTTGGTATATCATGTGTCTGAGATGTCTTGGCATGAAACATGATTGCACTGATGGCACTAAGAAACGTTGGAGTCGGTTGTTTGAAATAGCAAAACTCCGTTTTTAAATAGCAAAACACCCTTTTCAAATAGCAAAACTCCCTTTTCAAATAGCAAAACTCCCTTTTCAAATAGCAAAACTTCCTTTTCAAATAGCAAAACTTCCTTTTCAAATAGCAAAACTCCCTTTTCAAGTAGCAAAACACCCTTTTCAAATAGCAAAACACCCTTTTCAAATGGCAAAACTCCCTTTTCAAATAGCAAAAGCAAAACTTCCTTTTCAAATAGCAAAACACCCTTTTCAAATAGCAAAACTCCCTTTTCAAATAGCAAAACTTCCTTTTCAAATAGCAAAACTCCCTTTTCAAGTAGCAAAACACCCTTTTCAAATGGCAAAACTCCCATTTCAAATAGCAAAGCAAAACTCCCTTTTCAAATAGCAAAACTCCCTTTTCAAATAGCAAAACTCCCTTTTCAAATAGCAAAACACCCTTTTCAAATAGCAAAACTCCCCTCCCAAATAGCAAGACTCTGTTTGCTACTTTTCAGAAACCTGTACTTTATGAACCTTATTTTTAAAGACTAAGTACACATTGAGCATTGAGTACTGAGTTTGTTCTAGCGCAAGTACGCGGCAACAACCATTGGCGTACCAGTCAGGTACGACTAGAAATCTTGTATGATCGCACCCTGTCTAACCTATGACATATTTTTCTGTAGATTAGAAGGCACTAGCAAACTACCCGCGTTCGATAGCTGGACTCATTGTTGGAGAGAACTAAGAAAGCAAGTAAGTTAAGAAAACCTATGGATACATTTTTAACAAGCTCAAGTCTAATATGACAATCAGTGTAATATGTAGATATGAACAAATGCGCTTTATATCAAGTGTTACACTTACTTAATTTACATACTTAGCCTTGACTATTTTATCTTTACAACAAGTGAGATATTAAGTTCTTTGCATGGCGATAAAACATATAATAGTTTTCTTTGTGGAAACACCACGTAAATTTATTACTGCAACCCCAGCAAAAGTAGTAATTTCAACAATAATCACACACCAACAAATCGTAAGATTTTCATAGTTCCAAAATATCCCCTCCAGTCTGCCTAAGTTAGGGGAACAGGGACACTAACCCACATGCCTACAACATTCACAAAGTGTACAATGTGGAAAGGGACATTACACTTCCCTACTGCTTTTAGAAACCAGTAATTCACCTGTGTGAAAAAGTGGCAGTAATTTCAACAATAATCACGCACCAACAAATCGTAAGATTTTCACGGTTCCCAAATATCCCCTCCAGCCTACCTAAGTTAGGGGTACAGGGACACTAACCCACATGCCTACAACATTTACAAAGTGTACAATGTGAAAAGGGACATTGCACTTCCCTACTGCTTTAGAAACCAGTAATTCATCTGTGTGAAAAAGTGGCAGTAACTTCAACAATAGTCACGCACCAACAAATCGTAAGATTTTCATAGTTTCAAAATATCCCATCCAGTCTACCTAAGTTAGGGGAGCAGGATTTGTGATATTACTTTCTTAACTGTGTCTGTCCTAACCCACCCTGTCAACTTTCCCTGTGGGAGGAAACCCAAGCACCCGGAGAAAGCCCACGACTTTCGGCAGAACGTTGACCGACTCTTTTCACATGAGTCCGTAGCGAGAATCCAACCCACGATCTTAGAGGTGAAAGGTGCTTGCACTGACGCCTGCGCCACCTAAGTCCCCGCAAACCTGGCCAATAGACAATTCCCATTATTATACATTTAATATGTATTCTCGTTTCTAATTGGTCAGAAAGCACCGGCTAATTTTCAGTATTCGGCATTTATTACGTATTTTCCGCCGATGACGTCTTCAGCGTCCAATAATTGTTTTTTTGGATCGAACTTGCATCCAAAAAAAAAATATTGGACTCTCTCGTGCCCAAACCCTTGCGCGGCCAAAAGCTTGAACCTATAAGCGCGCGAAAAACTTAAACAAACAATGGCCTACAGCAGATTTGCTTCGCTGAATGAAAGTGAACTCTCCAAATTATTGGCAGATAAGGATAGTGAAAGCACGAAAAAAGCCACAAAGGGGTAAATAGAAGTAGAAATAGAATATTTAGCTGACCTTTGACTTTGTGCAAGGTGTTTGATATTCAAATTGTACTTTTCCTACCTCATGAACAGGAATCGTTTTATATGTTTCTCATGTCTTTAAATGTATAATAAAACAATTATTGGATTCGGCTTTCGCATGATATCAAGAATTATTCAGACCTCGGTCTATGTTATCCGCCTCAGCTTCGCTTCGCCAGATAACATTGACCTCGGTCTGAATAATTCTTGATATCATGCTCAGCCTCATCCAATAATTGCTTATTATAGACTAATTTTGAAACTAGGCAAGGCGATTCAAATAAATCACCACAGCTAGAAAGAGCATACTAAAATTAGTAAAATTAGAAAGTTTGGTTGCGAAATGTTGTAAAATGCGGAAAATATAGCCTTGCCTAGTTTCAAAATTAGTCTATAATGGAAATTGTCTATTATTCAATCCGTTTTTGATGTCAATTTTTATTGCTTACAGAATTTGTTATGGAGAGGATCCAGTATATTCCGACGTACATCAAGTACCGCCGTGGCCGGTCCGCTGACATTACGAAAGATCCTGTGATAGACCTGTCTAGCCATCTCTACCCTGCAATGATTCCTGTTTATCCCTCTCGGAGAAGAAGTTGAGGGCGATATATAAATATACATTAAATCGTGAGAAATGAAAAGCAATGTATTGAAAAGACAATTGTTTTGCCAAGTGAAAAGGTTTGTGAGAATAAATTGAAATTAAAGTGTGATCTTTCTGTGTGTGTGTTGTGTGAAAATGTTACTATAGTATTTTTCTATAATATTTACCACAGCGCCTATATTCAGCGAGCTATGGCCAGCAGCACCTTTTAACAAAATATCTTCGCCAGGGGTGGAAAAAATAGGCGAACACGCTGCACGCGAGCACTGCTCGCAGGAAATGTTAAACAGCTGCAGGAAATTCGTTTGAATGAAGATTTGCTATTGAAAATTTGAAGGAAACCTTAGGTCCTTAACAGCCATGTCCCACTGTGGGCGCAACAACATATGGTTGACAGGCATTATTCCTTGAATTTAAAACCATGGTCAGTTAGAACACTATATGTTTATGCACATGCACATTTAACACAAAAATACTACGTTGGTCTGCAGGAATTTTTTGTCTCCAGGTTGTGTTCCCAGGAAGAAATTTCTTTTTTTCTGCCCTGATCTTCACAGGAAATGCTCTTACACCTTGCAGGAATTTTCGTCATCTGATATACTGCAATGCCATATAATTTACTTATTGCTTAAAAATCATTCAAAAGCATTTTGCAAGTCGAGATCGCAGGCCTTAAAATATCTTTTACAGGGCCGTCTGACAAAATGTCCGCTGACTTTGAGTTTGTGTCGGACATATGTCCGATGACTTCAGTTCAGTTTGGGTCGAAAATAAGTCTGAATGACGCAAATTAATATCAGCATAATGTATTCATTCTGAACTAAATGTTGTGAAGATATTAAATAATTTGTGTCATTCATACTCATTTCCAAGCCAAGATTAACTTGCTTGCCAATAATAGCAGTACGACTTTAATTATAAGCCAGTTTTCCACTTCACCATTTCGCTCGCTGCCCCGTGCTCCGGCGGAAAACAACATTTCCGGTTCATTTTTGTACAATACTCTGGTTCTCCATTATAACATACGAGCCTCTAGTCCTGGACTAGGGTACATTTTGATTTACGTGCGTGGAGAAAGCGTCGGACAATGCTACAGTTCGGTCGGACACCAATTCAATCGGGTCGGACAAAGAATAAACCTCACTTTCACTTAGGTCGGACAGAATGTCCGGTGGTTTCCTCTCTACGTCGGACAATTTCACGAATGGGTCGGACAATGTCCGTGACCGACCGATATTTTAAGGCCTGGAGATCGTCTTTTGCCCAGATTGAAGTTTATCACAATGTTTATCACCGTACTTTCTCTGAAATCTACCTACCGGGACGTTTTATATTTGACTCACACAGGAAATTTTTATTTTTGGATTTTGCTGCCAGGAAGAGGAATATATTTCGTTTTTATCAACGTTGTGAATCGAGTATAATCAACGATATTTTAAACCAGTGTTTGTATGGTATACACCCTTTCGATAATTACGTCACAACTACACTGTTTTCAACTTAGGATCACCTTAAATGGAAAAGATTTCAAGTTTATTTCTCATGGGCTATGCACAGAGAAGCAGAACATCCTTCTTCAACACATGCATGAAAAAGAATTCTTTATTTTGACCAATAAATGTGGAAATAAGCTTTAACACGAAAACGAGGCTTCAGGCCATGACTGGAGCCTCGTTTTCGTGTTAAAACTTATTTCCACATTTATTGATCAAAATCCAAACTTTTTTCTCGCATGTGTTGAAGAAGGATGTTCTGCTTCTCTGTGCAAAGCCCATGAGAAAAAAACTTGAAATCCTTTCCATTTAAGGTGGTCCTAAGTTGAAAACAGTGTAGTTGTGACGTATTCCGGAATGATCTGAAAAATATTTCGACATAAATATACGTTATATACCACATGTAAACAATAAATAGCAGCTATTTTAATCATTTCACCTGCCTTTTAAAACAAAGTGAGCGGATTTTCGACAACATATCCATGAATTTCCTGAAATAGTGGCAGATAGGTCAAAAAATCTAGGAAATCAAAACTGTTTTTGTCCGAGAAATAATCGTCGATTGTCGCTTCTGCAGACCTCAAGCCGCCGGCGGCTAAACCTATCCATAGATCTGTTCGAGAAATTCGCATTGTGTCTTGATTCGCATAGCATTCAAATAACATCTGAAAAACAAACAAACGTGGTGGTCCAGTGTAGGTGGTAGTATTCTACAACAAACTGTCGTGTCTGAACTGTCTCAAATTGGGCTGTATCGCCTGTATGCTAAAACCACACTCGCACTCAAAGAGTGGAGGTTCAATCTGAGCTTCCCTTAACCGTCAGTACTGTTTTTAAATAGCTGGAGGGTGAGTAGTCGCATAGTAAGGAACGACTCTAAGGCCAAAAAAGAAATATGTGGGTTTCCGGTTTCCCGACCCTACCTAGCTTTTGGACGTCGAAATCCCGACCCTAAACTTTTTTATTGGATCATGCTTGTAAGTGTTTCCACTTAGAGGAAAAAGTTTGTGGAAAATTGAAATTTGAGGCAATATTAGGGAAATTTATCTTTGGATGTGGAAGGCTGGAAGCACTGACTAAACAAAATGGCGTCCGCTTGTTCGGAAAATTAATTTAAAAAAAAGTTTAAAAAAAAAGTTAAAACCGACCTACCCTACCTAAGTTTTTATAAGAAGAAACCGGAAACCCACATATTTTTTTTTGGCCTAACCCACCAGCTATTCAAAAACAGCACTGACACTCAAGGGAAGTTCAGATTGAACCTCCACTCTTTGAGTGTGAGTGAGCTTTTAGAATACAGGCGTATAACTCAGTGTGGTCAGAGCGCTACCCCGGAATCGCGGGGTAACAAGTTCGATTCCTGCCGAGGGGGGTCTTTATGGTTTCATTTTTCGCAGGGGCTTCCGGTTGGGTCTAAAATCGTGTTGGGGCTTCCGGTTGGGTCTAAAAGCATGTAAATTTTCGCTTGAAATTTCCTTCTACAAAAGAGGTATGCACCCCCTGGACGTCCACCATTTTAAATATTTTCAGGGGGGGGGGGGTGAATGCCTATCGTAAGCGCACTGGCTAGGAACATGGCGACGGCATTGCAGCGGTAACGTCAAAATCATGGGCGTAGCCAGAGTCTGTGACGGGTCCCTTACTGGACCTCTAAGAAAAACAAGTGCTGATAGAGCTATCCAATATAAATAATATTCTAACCTTCACTCGTTCTAAGGTACAGTCTAGTGTCTTGAAGTCACATTTGGTAATAAGCTTCTTCATTTTGTCACTAAATTTATGTTGAAATAAAAACACAATTTTGTTAAATTAAAATGTGATATATAGCATGATTGTTGTCGCTATAGAATTTATTAAAATTTGATGCTGCACTCTTTGAATACGGCAAATGAAATTAGTACCTAAAATTTGGAGCCTGTATTTTGAAAGCTGTGGCACTAACGTTTTTGGTGTTTTTTTTTTAAATATGAACTTTGAAATATTTTTTAAAATACCTATATCATGGTTTTGGAGTTTGCATATATCGAAAGTTTAGGATATTTTAAGACACTTTGCAATATATTTTGTTGTTGGAAAATTTCATCTTGATGGATTTATTAGCTTTTAAAGTTACCGGACATGACGTCAAAAGGAGAATTTTGTTGCAATGATACAAAGGAAAACTGATTTGCAATGGACCATTTGCATTATAGACTAAATTTTGATCTAGACAAAAATTTCATCACAGCTTGAAAGAGCATCACAAAATTAGTAATATTCCAAAGTTTCGTTG